GACCTCAATACCCTTCTCTGGGAGTGAGTCTGAGGAGCTCAGGCAGATCACTGATGGTGACAGGGCCCAGGAAGAACTGTCGCTGCATGTGTTACTCCATCCTCTGAACTGTCATGGTTGTAGCATCCATTCAATATCTCTCTGCTCACCAGAAAATGCAGCTTGGCAAAACAAAGGAAAAGTTTAATTTCTTTGATAGATTTTTTCTTTCTTTCTTTCTTTCTTTTTTTTTTTTTTTGCAAATGAGTTCTGATATTTTCTCCCTAATTTAAGCCTGGGAATTAATTCCAAAAGGAGAAATGCTTCCTTGCTTAGGAATCCCTTCACACAATGAACATCTTTGAAGAAYTTAGTAACTATTTAGTGATTAAACCAATAGGTAAATTATGTGGAAGAGCAAGCTCTTCTGGAATTGGAGCCCTGTTTATTGTTGCACACACTTTTTTCTCTTCTTCTTTTCACAAACATATGAATTGATGCAGTTGATAAAAAATTTTAACCTTAACATATATTAATATGCAACTCACAAAAGCAACTTTTTTGTCGTTGTCATTAAAAATAGTGGGTTGACAAACTAGGGTCTGCAGGCTACAGTTTCTGCATTTCTGAAATGCTATTTAAACATATAAAGCCCACATAGCCCAGAATATTTACTATCTGGCCTTTTCCAGAAATGCTTGCTGATCTCTGAACCACATGGAAAGTATCAACAATGGAGCCTCTGTACTTTTACTAAGAAACTGATTATGGTCTTCTCTTCAAAGCATCAATTTCCACTTGTAAAAATCAGTCTTCACAGCCATYCCAGAAGGAGACTTTGAAAACTCCTGGGGATGCATCTGCCAGAATCTGCCCCTGCTCTAGGGCAGAGGCTGCTCTTCGGCCGGTGCTGCTGCCCTTTCGCCCCCCTTTGTGCTGTTTCTCTGCCCTCCACCTCTCCTCAGCATCAGCACCACCCACTAACTTGCGCACACCTCTTTGACCTTGTTTTCTAGGCCAAATGTTTGCACCATTCTAATTATGCTTATGAATCTGCTTTGCTACGCTCTTCTCCTTTTTCAACTGTTTTCATCCTCCAGAGCCCTTCTGGAACCACTTTTTTATTCCCCTACAAGAATCTCAGCCTTTTTGTGTCAGACATCTTCCAAATCTATTTCTGCTCCTATCTTTTCCTTGTTCCTATCCAGGCCCAATTTTCTGCCATCTGAAAGAGATTAGCAAGAGAGGTCTTTGGGGGTCCTTCCTCTCTAGACCAGCTGCACAATCCCATTCCCTCTCCAGACATTGCTTGCATGTACCTTCATTATTTTTGCCTGTTGTCCATATTGCCTTCTATGATTTTCCCCCCATGATCTTCTGGATGCCAACCTTCACCTACAACTGCAGCAGTTTTCCATATCTTCTGATGGTCCACTGATGGCCACGGGAGCCAACATGCAATTGTAACCTGAGCTGTCCCACCACTCAGACTTCATTCCAGTGCCATTTGCTGAATTCCCTCCCTTTCCTACTAAGATGTAGCCTTGCTCTTAGTACTATTCATGCTTGTACATGAATACAGAGCAAAGCAATAGGTAGTAAGTGATCAAGAAAGTCATTCATATTAGGAAAAAACAGAAGGAATATTTAGAAGTAAAATCTATAACAATAAAAATTCCCAACAACCTAATGAGAAAATTAGTAAATCTAACAAAGTAGCCTATTAAAGAATATTTGATCCTGTTTTTCACCTTCCCTTAAATCTGTAGGTTAAGGACTGCCAGTAATTTTTTTCGAAATAATTTACTCTCTCTCTGATTCACTGTTCTATTTGCTGATGCATTATCTTGCCTCCAGTTATGTCTGTATACTTTAAGTTCTATAAACAAATGCTGTTTTTTTTGGTTATGAAATGTAAGACAGCATCCACTGCTTGATAAAAATTAAATTGACAACAAATATATGAAAAAATGTTCAACATTTYTAGCAATTAGAGAAATGCMAATTAAGACTACACTGAGATTTCATCTCACTCCAGTCAGAATGGCAATTATCAAGAGTACAAGTAACAAAAAATGTTGGCATGGATGTGGGGAAACAGGTACATTCTTATATCGCTGGTGGGACTGCAAATTGGTACAACCGCTATAGAAAGCAGTATGGATATTCCTCTGAAAACTTGGAATGGAACCACCATTTGACCCAGTTATCCTGCTCCTTGGCATATACCCAAAGGACTTAAAATCAGCATACAGTAGTGAAGAGGCCGMATTAATGTTTATAGCAGCTTGGTTATCAATAGCTAAGCTATGGAACCAGCCTAGGTGACCTGTAACAGATGAATGGGTAAAGAAAATGTGATAYACACACACACACAGGAATATCACTCAGCTTTTAAGAAGAATGAAGTTATGGCATTTGCTGGTAAATGGGTAGAACTGGAGACTATCATGCTAATTGAAATAAGCCAATTCCCCAAACACCAAACAAAGGCTGAATATTCTCTCTGCTATGTGGATGCTAACACACAATAAGGGAGTGGGGAGGAACAATAGAAGTTCATTGGATTAGACAAGGGGAAATGAAGGGAAGGGAGAGGGGATGAGAGTAGGAAAGAGAGAACTCCACATCATGTGTAACCACAAGAATGGGAAGTTATAGTCCATGTATGTATAGTATGTCGAAATACATTCTACTGTCATGTGTGACTAAAAAGAACAAATAAATTTAAAAAAATTAAATTGAACACTGTACCAGTACCACCATGTGCACGGAATGGTAGCTTCTCACTGGTGATATTCCGTTAGTCCAGTTCATCTGGAAGGTTTATTTACTAGAACAAACTTTGAAAGACTGTCACTCAATGGCAAGAGATGCTTTCTAAATAGCTTGCATGTAAGCACCTTTCTCCTTTCATTTCAGTCTCCTTTCTAATTCCATGTACATTTCTCTGAGTTCCTTCCTCCCAGGTCCTTTTACAGGATATACATTGTATTAAAAATAAATTTGGGGCTGRGCCTATAGCTCAGCTGTAAAGCACTTGCCTAGCACACGTGAGGCACTGGTTGGATCCTCAGCACCACATAAAAATAAATAAATAAAATAAAGGCATTGAATCCATCTACAACTAAAAAAAATTAAAAAAATAAAATGGGAAAATCTAGCAAGGACATGCTTGTCTGGAGGGAGAGGGCTGTAGGCACACTAACCTACAGGGAGATGGAGTGTTCACCACCCTGCCTCAAGCATATGTCTTTCTTAAGTGCACCACCTCCTCATTTATGTATTGATCACATATTTTCCAAGAGATATTCTAGGCCTTGGACACTATGCTAGACCCTAGGGCACACTGATGAGCAAAAGGAAAACTGTTGCTGCCTTTATGTGGGGGAGGTAGCACCAGTTACAAATTTGCATTCATAAATATGTGTCAGCAAACACTCTAGCTCTGATATAGAAAGGAAGCACTAAAATTAGTATCTATTTCCCTAACAGCTCTGTTATCTTAGGTCTGCTTATGTGAACAACATGTGCTGTGTCTCTTTTTCCTCTTTTCCTCTTTGTCTGGTGGAGGTGGATATAAGGCTAACCCTGTCCTTTCATGGCTATGGTGATTTATAGTCACATTTTTTTTTTTTTACATCATGTAATTCTTAACCCCCCCCTAGATGGTATAATCTCAGTTTTAAATTAACAACATTATTATTTTTTAATATTTTTTTTTAGTTGTAGTTGAACACAGTACCTTTATTTTATTTATTCGTATGTGGTGCTGAGGATTGAACCCAAGGCCTTGAACGTGCTAGGCAAGCACTCTACAGCTGAGCCACAATCCCAGCCCAACATTATTACTCAGACTGTCATTGGGAGAGTGAATGAATGAGTGTTTGCACTGTGGGAGGTTGGGGGCAGAAATAAGCCCCAATTCTAATTTGAAGCCACCAAATGTAGTGGCTGTGAACCCGCCAAAAGCAGGAACCTTGGATTTACATTGTTTACAGCAGCGAGAGAAAATACCCCCTCTTCTCTGTAGAAGTTAGGACTGGATCTCAAAAATAGAAATGTGTCCTCCTAAACGCCTGCTCATCCCCATGGTTGACAAACAGCGATTTCCCAAGATAGCTGCCGCACACTCAGTTCCGAATCTCTGTATTTCTTCCTCTCCAGAATGTCTAAACCCCTCCTGATTGCACCCAGTCATACTTCCTGAACTTTTTGAGGAAACACTTTCAGGCTTCATATGCTTTCCTCAAAGCCCCTGGGCACAACAGGGGAGGACTCAGGCCCTGGCGGAGTACTCTTGCGTGGGGATTCCTGCCTCTCCGTGGCCCGCATAGGCCAATGTGCAATGTGCTTCCCAGCCATGGTCCCACTCGCTGTTAGCAAGCTGAATGAGAAGCAACGCTATTTTTACTTSCCTGGCTGCAATCCTTTATGTTTACTTGCAGAAAGAAAATACCTAAAGGATAAAGATGGAAATGCTTGGCCTTAGTTTTTCCTAAGCAGATGGGGGTTGGAATAGGACAGGGTATGTAAGGTCTGGGATGGTGGAAAAGAAAGGTCGATTTCCTGGGCTGTTTTCTCCTGATCGTGCCTGTTTCTGGCCCAGGAGTCCCCACACTTTTCTTTCTTTTCCCCAGACTCCCCCTTGATTGCCAGCTCCCCCCCCCCCGCCCTCATCTTTGGAGGTGCCACCGTCACCTCTGATGCTGCCTGGGATGCTGCATCACTCTGCTGCTCCCCCTTTCCCCACAGTAAAGCATGCGCAGTGCGTCCCATGCCCGTCGACAGCATCAGCATCAGCATCAGCATCAGTACCAGGGCCCCGTCTCAGGCGCGTTCCCGTGGGAGGGGCGCACGCCCGAGCCGCGCGTCCCCGTGCTGCTCGCTCCTGCGCGCCGCCTCAGCACCCTCAGGCCCAGCAGCAGCCCCCGCAGTCGCTTGAGCGGCCGCGCCCGCCTCGGGGAGCGAGCAACCACTGAGGAGGCTCCAAGTTGGCGGAGCGGCGGGGACCCCTGAACTCCTCTGCCGTCCGCCCAGGGAGGGGCTGAGAGGAGAGCTGAGGAGGGCGCGCCGCCCAGTCCTGAGCCCCCAGCCCTGAGCCCCCTGCCCGCGGTGGCACCATGCGCGCCCAGCCGGCGTGACCGGCTCCGCCCGCAACCGCCCCGCAGCCCAGCCTGGCGCTCTAGCTGGCCACACCGAGCGGCGCCCGGGAGCTATGAGCCATGAAGCCGCCCGGTAGCAGCTCCCGGCGGTTGCCCCTGGCAGGCTGCAGCCTTGCCGGCGCCTCTCGCGGCCCTTGCTGCGGCCCCGTCGGCCCAGTGCCTGTCCGCGCCCCGGCCCGCGCGCCGCCCTGTCTCCTGCTCCTCGTCCTTCTCCTGCTGCCTGCGCTCGCCTCCTCGTCCCGGCCCCGTACCTGGGGGGCCCCTGCGCCCAGCGGTGGGTATGGCCCAGTGCCCTTTGCCTTGCTTTCCCCGCGGGGCCCTGTAGGGGAAAGCGAAGGGCACGCGGGTCCTTGCGCCCTGGACATGTCCCAGGCTTGGCCTTTCCGTGCCTCCCTGACTACCTCTCCACCCTTCTCATTCCTAACCCCTTGGTTCATTCTAGTTCACTTTTGGAAGTCCATTTATGTTGCATTCACAAAAAACCCATCCCAATTACTGTGGTACCACTGGGAGGTATTTAGTGGATCCTGGGTCCTTCAGCGATCTCATGCAACTTGCGAAGGGGAAACCAATGGTTGGGAAATGCAGCAAGGGAGCAAGTTGCTTCTTGTGTGCTGGAGCCTTAATATGAATGCGGGGAGCATGCAATGATAATAGTGGCAATGGGTTGTTTCCTCAAATTTCCCACTGGGCTTATTCACTGCAGTTGAGATTAAGATGAGGGAGTCATACTTCAGGGACCAAAGAATGAAAGTGCAGAAGACATACTTTGTGCACGACCTTTGGTTGTGATTTCTCAAAATGAATGTCATGAACAATTAAAAACAACACAATGTCCAATACATTCATGATTGGAAATCACTGAAAGCAGAAAGTTGGCCTAGGCAGGAAAATAAAAAAAGAAATCTAAGGCCGCAACATCCATATCCCTCTATGGCAAAGGATTTTTGCTCATCTCAAAGTTAAAAGAATGGGAAAATTTCCATTTTGTTAAAAGAATCAATTAAAATTCCGTGTCCAAGAAGTCAGCATTCAAGTTATCCTTGGAGTGTTCTTAGTTCTCAGATGGGATACTATTGAGCAGAGTACAGTTGAACTTCTGTAGACTCAGAGAAGGGGTAGAGATGAGGGTCAAGACCCCTGAACAGGTACTTTTAATGACTTTTCCCTAAGTACATTCTGCCCCTCCCCCTAATATCTAGATGTATAAATTTGAGACTGGCTAAAAAATGTATACTTGATTCTAGTACATGATTGTATAAGCCTTATTGGCCGTTAACTTATTCAGRCCATTTCATTGTTGCCATAACTTGCTTTTCTCTGACTCCACTTCTTACCTGCTTATAAATAGAAAACTTTGTTAATGTAATTAATGAAAAAATGCATTTTAGTACATATGTATTTATGGGGTGTATATGTGTGTGTTTGTGTATGTTTGTGCTTCCTGTCCCCCCAGCTCCGCACTGGAATGAAACTGCAGAAAAAAAATTGGGAGTCCTGGCAGATGAAGAYAATACATTGCAACAGAATAGCAGCAGTAACATCAGTTACAGCAATGTAATGCAGAAAGAAATCACACTGCCTTCAAGACTCATATATTATATCAACCAAGACTCAGAAAGCCCTTATCATGTTCTTGACACAAAGGCAAGACACCAGCAAAAACATAATAAGGTAGGCAGGAGGCTGGGCAGGAGGCAAAGTACCTGCCATTGAAGAGTTTTCCTTTACTTTGATTTTCTGCCAAAATCTGATTTCACAAATGTTACTGCAGCATTTCTTATTAAGAAATAAATTAATATTATTATAGGGGAGAAACTGGAGGAAATTAACTTGGGATCTACTGGGTTACTATTTACTTGGAATAGGGTTACTGTTTGTTTCTTTTCTCTGACTAAACTGGAATTGGCAGTTTTGGATACCTTTATAAGCTTAGCAGTTGAAACATGGTCCATGTGTCTTTCAGGTGCATTGGGCACTGAGCAATAGCGTGACTGTGTTTATGTCCCGCCTTGATTCTGTGAGCCTTTATGTAAGGGTGCAGGATTCTACYTCCCAGAATGTAAAAACTCCATTCAATCTGCACACACAAGATTGTTGTAAGGGGCTGTTCGGCAGCAGTTTCCTCATCAATCTTTCCATTTAGAACTGGAGTGTTTAAGTTTACTCTTCCTTCAGTTGATCATTAGGAAGAAAATATTGCAATTCTATTATTAGTAGGTCAACAGTTTGACATTTTAAAAGATTATGAAGACTAGAAAAAATTATTTACATAATATGAACACCAGTTTTGGTTAACATAGTGCTTCAAAACTTCATCTGCATTGATCGGGAGGAGTTGTTTTACTTTCAGTTTAGTTCAGAAAGTGGCACTGATTTTAAAAAGGATATTCAGTGGAAGACAAAAGATGCTTAATGTCAAAGAGTTTAAGGGATCTACTTAAACTCTTCCAATTATTTATTTAAATTAATAATATTTTGGATCCAGGCAAGTTTACACAGTGGATTATCAGTGCTTCTGTTCTTTATTAGGAGCAGAAAATAGAGTCCACATGTTAAATATTTCATTTTGACCTATATCTGCTCATTGACAAGCACAGGAACTGTCCAAGCTTCAAGAATTTAAGAAAACCATCTGTGGTTTATATTCTTATTTTTATTTAGTTTTCTAAAATATAGATAAGTGGTAACAGTATTTATCCCCATTTTATAGATGGAGAGATAAAAATGTAAGACTTTGGGTGACTCTCCAAAGGCTGTAAATCAGCTACTATAAAGTTCAAGAGGCCTGAATATTTAATTTTTATTATTTTTTAAAAGAAGGCAGGTCTCAGAGATGCTTCCTCCATATTGAATATTGGTGAAGTTAACTTTGTTTCACATTATTATAAAGTGGCTGCTGCCCACCTTTACTGAGATAATGGGTCTCTGTTCTCTGCCAGGTCTTTCCCACCAGAAGCTTCTCTGTTACTTAAAGGACTAACACATCATATCTACCCATTTGCCTTATTGAAATGAGTAGTGAGTGTTGCCTTTAGGAAGAGGCATCAGGGTCCCCTTGATGGAATGAATGGAGGTCCATAACTTTCGTTATGAATGAGACCTTCAGTGGTTAAGTGGCTAGTTCTCAGTGCCCTTGCATAGGCTGCTGGAGGAGAAAAAAACCTGCATTAAAGCCTATTTTAAAGTTTCTCAAGCCGTATGCAGCTGAAATGTGAAAGAAATTTCAGAAGAACTTTATAACTGAGGTATTGGGGGCTATGACTAATGCTTGTCTTATAGCCTAAGTTTGCGTAGTTGTTTTGTTTGTGGAACATGATTTGACTAATATTTCTGACTTTCTATGCTAATAAGGTTGTTCAACCTTTACCCACCACTTGGGTAGAGGAATAGAATCTCAACTAGGGAGCACTCACTTGCTGTTGGAATGATTTAACCTCTCTACTCCTACCCTGGTGGTGGGTTTCTTTTCTACTTTGGAAAGAATGTTTATATAGAAATCATATATGAAAGCATTTTTCTTCTCGTTGTTTAATTCAGTGGATTTTGTTGCACATTGTTGGTATGCAAGCTGTATGTGAAGGATTCACAGATAAGAACTGAGGGTGGGAGGTTGGAAAAGACATGTTCTGTCCCTTCAGGAGTTACACAAGTGACATAAGCAGGATTCTAAAAAGGGTTCCCGTCCAGGTACGAACAGTATCGTTCTGATGTGGGGGCTGCCTTGAAGTTGACCATTGTGTTCTGTGGTTTCCCTTCTGCTTCTGTTTTTAAGCATCTCTTGAACAAGTTGACAAAAAGGGTTCATATGTTTCCTGCTACATTTTAGGATGACTTGCCTGATAACAGTGCTGGGAGACACACTTGTTAGTTTGGCTGCTTTACAAATGTTTCATTGAGAAAGTATGGAATGTCATTATTTTTTGCTTTTATAAAAAAAAGTTTCAATTTTAATATCTGTGTGCTATGGGTCACTTTTTCCTCCCCTAATTCCATTGCACTGAAGCACATTTTAATGAAATGCTTAGAAATGCCTTAGAAATGCTGAATCATTGTGCCTCTGTGCCTCTCTCCTGGATCCCCAGATTGGGGGTAGAAGTGGAGAGGGAAGTTCCTAAATATAGGTTGCCAGGCCAAGCTCCACATTTATGTCTGAAGCCGTTTCATAAGTACTCAGTAGTGATGGGTCCTAATTACTTAACAGCTATGAAAGTTAAAATGTTTATTAACTCTTTCCAAATTGGGGAGTTTAAAAGCAGATCATGTCAAGTACTTCTGAACATATGTTGTCATTGAAAACATTACTTTCATTGTCAAAGAATGTTCAGGAGCCGGGCATAATGGTGCATGCAGGTAATCCCAGTGGCTGGGGAAGCTGAGACAGGAGGATTGCTGGTTCAAAGCCAGCTTCAGCAATGGCAGGTGCTAAGCAACTCAGAGACTCTGTCTCTACATAAAACACAAAATAGGGCTGGGGATGTGCCCCTGAGTTCAATCCCTAGTACCAAAAGAAAGAAAGAATGGTCAGGAATTCTTTCAATCTCCAGCTAGAGTAGTGAATAACCAATTGTCCAAATCTCCATTTTTTTGGAGGAGTGTGCACACTTAATAAACGTATCAGGATGAAAGGCATAAACCAAGATAATCCAGAGCAGATGGGGAATTTATAGACAACTCGGAATTAAATGATTATGTTCTTTGATTTTTGGTGGTTACGCAAATTCATTTCTTTACAGACAGTTATATTTTCTGATTATAGATTATATACATTTTTTATTACCTAGAAAGTAAATATTACTATCATGTGGCAGTGTTACCCCAAATGGAAAAATTTAATTTTGTCATGTGTGATATTGTGAAATATATATTGGGTCTTCATCCTGTCTTCTCCTAAAAACCTTGGAATTTCCTGAGTGATAAAGATATCTTGTATGATAATATGAGGACTAGTGTCTCGGGTCCTCTAGGTGCTTCAGGGTGGGATGGGTTACCAGAAAGACTGAGGAATGATTGGAGAGTTAGGACTTTTAGTCTCACCCCCGAGAAGAGGGGCTGAAGATGAAGTTGATCATAGACAGTAATGTAATCAGTCATGTCTATGAACTGAAACTTTCATTAAAAACCCAAAGGAACTAGTTTCTGGAAGGTTTCAGATAGCTGAACATGTGGAGGTTCCTAGAGGGTGGCAAGGAAGCTCCTTGCCCCTTCTCCAATAATGTGCTCTAAGCACCTCTTCCATATGGCCATTACTTTGTATCTTTTGTAATGGCTTTTGTAATGAGTCAGCAAATGGGCTGGGGATATAGCTCAGTGGGTAGAGTGCTTGCCTCACATGCAGAAGTCCCTGGGTTCAAATCCCTAGCATCCCCCCACCCCCGGCCCCCGCAAAATATATAGTCTCTGAGTTCTGTCTCTCTTATCAAATTAAATTGATTCTGAGGAGGGCATCATGGGAACCACAGTTTATAGCATGTCTTTCAGAAGCTCAAGCCCCCAACTTGGGGCTTGTGATTGGCATCTGAAATGAGTAACTGAAGTCTTGTGGGACTAAGCTTTCAATTTCTGGGCTCTGACCCAATCTCCAAATGGATGGTGTTATGAATTGAATCAGAGGACACTAGCATTGTGTTCAATGCAATGGCTTGGTGTGTGGGGGCGAAAATATCCCCTCTACCTCTGGTGCCACCAGTGTTGTATTGAGTATCATGTGAAAATGGAGAAGGAAAAAACACTTAGCTTAAAATCTATCTATCTATTTTTAACTTTTAAAAAATCAATTCTTATGAGCCATACATTTAGAAAGCAGGAGAAACCCTTAGATTCATTCATTCACTCACTCATTTATTCATTCTGAGATAATCCTACCAGGTCTGTTCCTAGGGAAATTCAGAAACTTTTTCCAGAAAGTTTTCTTTGATCAAAATGTACTTGTCCTCTATCCCATTCCCTTAGAATTCTTTTCTCTTCTGGTTGGGAAGGGATGAACGGGCTACATTATGAGTTCCACGGGGCATGGGGAAATGTGACCTAGAGTTTGGACAGATATAAGTGAAATCAAACAAAACTGCCTCCTGTCATGGAATGATATTTGGGTAAACAGGCCTTTTCTAATCTTGACCACCCCAGACTGAGGAGCGAGAGGTTTAGTGAATTCAATTTTTATTTATTTATTAGTGCTGGGGGTTGAATCCAGGGTCTTAAGCATACTGAGTGTGAGCCCTGACACTGACCTACTCCCCCAGCCTAAGTGAATTTGGATGACAGTGATTATGTATGCTTTCTACTTTACTTTTGGACAAGACTGGTTCCACATTTATTGACTTTTCAGAAGCTCCATTTTTCTTGGTGTGGTGTAAATGGTCCTAAGTGTCTTACATATGAGATACTCTCACACGATTTTAGAATTCTGGAACACATGTTTTTTGTGACACTTATTATCAGAAATCAATTTTTATTTTTATTAATTTTTATTTTTTTTAAATGTTGAGCTCTCCACCCTCCTTTTTTTCCCATTTATTTCTTAGTTGCAGTTGGACACAATATCCCTATTTATTTATTTTTATGTGGTGCTGAGGATTGAACCCAGGGCTCTACACGTGCTAGGCGAACGCTCCACTGTGGAGCCACAATCCCAGCCCCAGGAATCAATTTTTAAAAGTCAGCAGAAAGTCCCA